CGCCTTCTATTTATCTGATGGCTGCCAGATTTCTGCGATCATTCCCAACATATGAAAACATATATCGGCAAAATCTGAGACGGCCACAAAACAGTGAAATCCCAGAGCTTCTGGGACTTTCCCAACATAAATGTACAAAAACCAGGTTTGGAGGAGCTACATCACAGACAGCCCATCTTAAAAATTTGGCCTAGTTTTTCAAGTCTGCCATTTTCAATCTTGCCCAATCTTAACCATCCTTGTTCCTATTTGGTTTATTGTTACCTCTTTGGTGTTTTTCTAACTTAGAAAACTAAATTTGAAAGTAATTTTTGTACGTCAGCAAAATGGCATAAAATATCACGACATAGCTCCTTTAAAACTACATACCACAATAACTCAACAATAAATTTCATCCTTTAAAAACAAAATGGCCGTCTATTGTTATGACGGCTATGTGCATGAAATCAGCAACAAAGTGTTACCAACAAGCTGTTATAAACACCGTGACGTCTCAAAGTTAAAATAACCAAAATACTCACCGTCATATCTCGTGAAAGGTTTTCACTTTTCCTTTTTTTCTGCCATTGCGGATGCTGACTGTTGGCGCTGTAAGTTGTCAATTTTTTCTGTAAGAACAAGTTTTCGCTGAAGTGCGTCAAACTGGCCTTCGTTGTCGGAACAACTCGCTCTAGCGTTTACATGAGACAGTGGCGTGGTGGCTGGAGTTGATCGGCTCCTCGCTGAGGAGGAAGATGGCAAAAAAAAACTGACAACTTACAATGTGGAGTGAAGCTTACTGAGTGGAGGCGACTGGCTGATAAATTGGCGAGGTCTCTTCGGAATCACTATTACTGTCAAGCTCCAAATCACGACGGATATGATTTTCAGATCGAGATCTCTCGATGGAAATCCGCGGACGGTCTTGCGCTCGAGGAACGACTGCAGTTGTCCCTGGAGTTGTCTAAATATTCAAAGAGCAAAACGAGTGAATTGCTGACCTGTCTTACTGACCNTCACGGGTTTATTACGAATCAACTTAACGGCCTGCTCCCAGTTGGCTTGTTAGCTCAATTGGTAGAGCTCTGCACTAGTATTGCAGAGGTCAGTGGCTCGAATCCCGTACAGGCCTGATTTTTTTCAGGTCTGATTTTGGCTACTGCATAAATAGCGCTCTCTACTGCGAGGATCGTGCATCATACATACATACGTTACTTGACCACTCCCAATAGGGGCTTTTCAGTGCGAATTCCCACCCTTCCCACTCATCCCACCCCAGGGGAGGACTTCCACCACACAGTAATCTCGTGCGTGGGAAATTAACGTCTCCTACCCCTAACCCTTCAGGAGACGGGGCCTACGGTTTATTCGTCCTTATCCGAGAAGACTAGAATATACATTTTTGGATTTTTGGAAGGTAGCAAATTCTCCTCACTAAAAGAGCATGAGTATCGGTCCGGCCGGGGCTCAAAACCCTCGACCTCCCGCATAACACAATCCGGCGCTCTAACCAATTGAGCTAACCGGGAGGCTAGAACTCGACAATGGATACCTTTATCAGACGCTGCCATTGCCACTCTTCGAATATTCCCTAAGCCCATTTATTTTTGTACTGGCGGACTTGGGTACCGCGTTTTGAACAAGATTAACTTCTTCTTCGGCTGTTTTTGCTTGCCGAAACGGCATGTCTATGTGTCCCGCTTTAAACAGTGGCGGTCCTCAGGGACATGTGACACTGCTAGAATATTTCACAACAAAGGTCAATAATTACTGAAAAACAATAGCAATTCCGCGTACGATGCCGAAATCAGTCAGAATTTTTTCATTGTTCTTGGCTAATGATGCACGATTGAGAAGCAATTTCAAAAACTCGTGCTTCGTGTTTCATCGGGGTTTACAAACACTCGAAAACAATAAAAGCACTCGGCCTGCGGTGACCAGTCGGACTCGTTTTTGAAATATTACTTGAAAATACGTTTTTCTTAATAAGTCGGACGCTTTTTGCGATTTCTAATTTATTTTTAAAGTTAGTTAAAATGTCTAACTTCAATCAAAAAAACAGTTTTTCTGCCTCTGAAGGTAGGAAGTAGCCTTAACTTTGTTTAGACTCTGAGTGTCAAGTTTCAGAAGTATACAGAAGATGGCACAATTGATAAAACAGCACAGTGCAGACAATGAAAAAGATTTATCGTTTTCAAGTCAAGAAATACAAAAGAAGATTGCGGGTTAGATAACAGAAGGCTCTAGTTTAACTAGTATATCAATTGATGGTCATTACATAACTAATATTCAACAGAGTCCTCTGAAAGAATCATCATAGATCAAACTACCCTTGAAATTGAGAAATTCAGCTAACGGACTAATTAATCTGGAAAAGGATGACATTCAATGTTTCAGATGGCGTCCTATCAGACATTTGATCAAACAGGAGAAATATCCTCAGAGAATCAAACATTAAAAAAAAAAAACTGACAAGCGATATATTCACAAGCTTAATTGTCAAGGAATTGAATTTCCAGTATATCCGTCTAACAGTACCACAGAACTGAAAAACAGGATAATTTCAATGTCAATGGTTATGAAGAAAAACCAATGTTCGAATCAATGTGTCAAAAGAAAAATTTGAGGATGAATTGAATCCTTTGTCAATAACAGAAAGTGAAAACAAACATTACGTCATCATCAGAGAATTCAACAAGTTCATGCATCACAATCAAATTTGGCAGATTTTTCTCCATTTCTATCACAGTAGCGCAAAAATTTTGCTTTTAAGCTCTGGGCTTATACAACTACGTAAGGGCTTTTGGGTGGGCTTATGAAGTTAACGTCATCATTAAAAATTTTTATGTCTAATTTACGGCGGCGAGGTCTCCTGCAATGAATTCTCTCAGTTAATCTGAGGTAACCTTAGCTTAAGAAAACAAGGAAACCAGAGGGGCTAATACCCGGGGGGGCT